TTACAAGAATATTGAAAGATATAGACAAAGTTACAAATGCAGTCCCATGAGAATGGAAAATTGCTAATTTTTAAAAACACCATTAAAAAAAATGACAGCCGACCAGGTGTGAAAGCATATGGTTGTAATCCCAGTATCCAGAAGGGCCTCCAGTTTGAGGCCAGTCTGGGCTACATAGCCAGCTCAAGACCAACCCAAGGTACATAATAAGACTCTGTCTCAGAAAAACAAGCAAACAAACAAAAACAAGTGACTGAGGCTTGATTGTTTTTGGTGAAATCATCAGATGACCCAATTTCACATTTCAGTAAATTATCCCAGACAAATCATTAGTGCTCCTCTTGACCAGCCCTCCCTGAGAACATGTGGCGCTCACCATTCAGTGTATGAATCTCCTTGTTGAGGGAAGTTTCAGCTCTTACTCTGAGGTCAATACCAGAACGGCTTCTCTGCAGTTTCTCTATGAGTTGAACATTTCTTGATTTCTCAAAGGAGAGACAATCTGGTAATTCCCCAGTTGACCAGAGCAGGGATCCTCAAAGTGTGGTCCATGGGCAGGGACTGGTCTAAGATCCATTCAGTTCAACAAATGAGACTAAGCATGAGAAACACACACAGCAACCTGACCCTACCACACATCCAAATATGGGGTCATTTCCATTAATTTGTTTGTATAGTATCGAGAAATATCAAGCCACAAGAGATCAGAGATTTAAAAGGAAAAAACAAAACCTGGTCTTTGTCCATAGATAGTTTGAGAAGCACTGAGCTATCAGAAATCAGCTGGTTGTATCCTCTTGTGGAACCAATTCTGCCATAGCTGCTGTCAGGTAAAGATGAACACAACTCTCGATTCTTGGTCATCTTCACACTGATCTTTGAGCTTCAAGGCTTGTCTCATCCCTTAAGACAAGTTCTCCATGACCTGGTTTCCCTGTGACCTCTTCAGAAAGTCCTAGTCTACATGTTCTTGATTCTGGGAAGGTCTCCAGCAGATGAGAAGGGCAGAAGGGAGAGAAGATACTTTCAGTTCAGTTCAGGTTTTTGTTTTTTTTTAATGTCACTCAGATTGTATGTGTGTCTGCTATTGGGAGAAAGGAGCCTTTGAGCCCATAATGTAAGGAAGGACTGACTAGGTATGGTCTTCATCTTGAATCCCCTGGCCAGGTAACCTATACAGTACCCTGTGCCAGTGGAACATCTGAGCAGGCTGTGGCTGCACCAGTGTGTTTTGGTGACACCTCCAGCTACCTCACAACCCTCTGCATGCTTCAGTAATTGCTCTGTAAGTCAGGATTGCTCAGAAGCTCAGTGGCACAAAGTGCCTATTAGCTAAGTAGTTAATAAGGTCTCATTAAAGACCTGTATTTAAAGCCTCAAAGAGAGTGTAGTCTCAATCTCTGCTAACCATGGAGGCAGTAATCATGCATGGGTGTCATGGCTTTACCTGGTGTCTTTCTGGGAGAGCACCAGGAGACAGCCACCCAGGGGAAATCTGACCTCTTCAGATTTCCTGTTTATTTTCATATAAATCCAGAAAGTACTTTGTATTCTACAGCTTCTACCTGAGAGGCAGAGTTGGGAGCCCCATCAGGGGATGAAAAACATCAGTCAAACAATGGCTTTTTGTACTGAACCTTCCTGGAAGCAGGAGCCAAGTTTCTTGACATTCGTAGCCTTCTGAAAGAGGCAGAGTGTGTACCTGAAAGTTCTCCCAGGCTGGGCCAGTGTGAGGGGAGGAGTGGCTGGCCTGATAGCTGCTGCTCTGAGAAGTGGGGACTCTGTACAGTCTAATGAGGCCCAATCTGCCTAAGCCTGAGGGATCAGACACCCCCACAGCCTGCAGGGTCCCCAAGAGCCCACACATGAAATGGAGTAACTGTCCCAAAGCTGATCTTAGTGCTGGGCTTCCATAATGTGAAAAGGGGTGAGGGTCCCTGGTACCTTATCATTGTCACCAGCTTGCTCCCTATAGTGCCTGTACTTTTGCTGGAGTCAGAAGAGTTAGCCTCAGGGGCTGGGGATGGCTTCACTACACAGAGCTGTGTGAGATATGCAGCCTGCTGTCCAATGCTTCACTGTTCCTGGACCTCCTGCTTTGTGCTTGAGGCTGTCACTGGATTGATCACATGTGGCCTCCCAAAAGCAGTTTAGATGGAGGGTATCATTTCACCCATGTAAGAGTCACTGTTGTGGTCCTGATGGCTGTCAACCTTTGCCCAGAGGCCCTGCAACCTAAATTGTTTGCTCTGGCCATTCCTCTAGAGCCGAATTTGGAGGCTAGGCAGGGTCTGGAGACTCGCTCTCTCCGGAGTCTGGTGACCAGGAACCATATTTCCAGAATCTCACACAATCTGTATTTGTCTTCCCTCAGAGGAGATGGTAGTGTTCCCAGGTAGGCTTCCATTGCTGCTGGGGAGAAAGGGAGCCAGCTGGGGTCTGCTAAGGGATGGATGTGTAATTGTACCATGTTTTGGTTTTGGTTCTTGGCTCCTTGACACATTTTTAGGGCTCTAGGCATTTGTGGGTACCCTCAGGAGCACAGCACCGATCACCCATCATCAGGTAGTGCTCCAGGGCCTGTTGGAATACTGCCTCTCCAACTCTGAACTAGTCCTGTCCAGCCCCAGCTCTGGCACCCACTGAGCACTGCCACAGAGCTCCTGTTCTCTCTCCACCGTCCCAAGACAGCCCAGCCATACTCTGCACTCCAGCCACTGCTTGTTGGCCTGTGGGCTGGCCAGGAGGGACTCAGGTCAGATACAGATGTCTGCTTCTCAGGGACCCACGGAACTGAAGGGTAGACTGGGTGAGCTGAATCTAGAGGAGGAAGAGAGGAATGAGTCACCTTCATCTTGACCCAGCCACTGCTAAGCTGTACTTGAATACCCTTCTATCACTCAGTCCTTCCTACAAATCCATTTGGCAGGTACAACTGTCCTCATTTTACTAAATGAAGAAACCAAGTTCAGAAGCTCAGTGCTTTGTGCCAGATCTCAGAACCCACCCATGGTGAACTGGTTCCTTGCCCTGCCCCATGATCCACTCAGCAGCTCTTTGGAGGAGGATAGCTGAAGACTGCCTTTCTATCTATGCAGGCTTGGTTCTGGATTTCTTTCTCTCCTTTGCTTGGCCATTTCTATCTTGTAGGCTTTTATAAACTGCAGCAATACAGGCCTTTGGGGTACTTATTGGGCCTGAGAATCAAAATTCCACCTGCTCCTCATGAGAGATACCATGAAGACCCAGACTGAGGGTCAGGAGAACTGAGAACAGACTTGAGGCTGAAATTTATTTACTAAGTGGCTTCAGGTATATCCGTACCCCCTCTGAAATTCATTTACCCGTCTGTGCAACCAGAGGCTCAGTGAATCCCTGCAGGCCCGTACTCCCAATGGATGTGGTTCTGCCAGTCATGTGGGTCACCCTAGCCATGGGGTTCTTTGGTTTTTAATAGTGTTCCAACATTTATTGTGTTAAAATACACAGTATAAAATTGATCATCTTAACCACATTTAAGCGGGTGCTTCAGTGATACCACATACATTTTAGTGGTGTGCAATCAACACCACCATGCATCTCTAGAGTTTTTTTCATCTTGCAAAACCAAAATTCCAAACCCATTAAGCAGTAACTCCCCATTTCCCCATCACCACTGCTCTACTGGTTGTCTCTCTGATTTTGACACTCTTCGTGTCTTATAGAAGTAGGATTGTACAGCATGTGTCTTTTTACAGTATTTGCCACAGGCTTTTATTTCTTTCTGTCTCTCCATCTCCAGAATAGCCACCATCTGCTCCTGGTGGTTTGCCTCTCTGGAACGTGGCTGCTGTTGCATGTGGATGTGGAGCCCTCTTCCATACCTTGCCTTGCCACATTTTCCTTCTGGGTGCTAACTGGCCTCTCCTTTTGTCTCTGTCTCCTTCACCTCTGCTCTTGGCTAGCTGACGGTAGGGAAAGTGTCCAGCGGAATAGGGGCTGCAGCTGAAGTCCTGGTCAATTTGTACTTGAATGATCACAGACCTAAGACCCAGGCCACCTCTCCAGACCTGGTAAGGACGTGTGCCCCCCAGCCTTCACCCACAGACACTGGCTCTGGCCTCCTGGGGCAGGAGCCCAGGATGCAGAGAGGATGACCTGAGCCTTTGAAGGCACCTCTACTTAGGGAACAAGAGGGTTCAGGGAATGGGTTGAACCCAGGCAGAGGTTAGAGGGAAGCTGCATTTCCTAAGATCACCCTCATCGGTCCTAATGGGCCAACTGCCAAGGTAATGTCTGTGGTCCTAAAGAATTGCTCAGTATCAAGTCCTAGAGGCTGTCTACATACACTGATGTTCCTGACCTTCAATGTTTCATGTCCTGTCTGAACAGCCCTGTGCATGGAATTGAGGAATGAGGAGCACATGCCTCACCTCTCATTCTCCCCTTCTCACTCTAGGCCTCTGCTGCCATCACCAGCCGTGTGTGTTGATAGTTCATTTGGTTTCCTTTTGTTCATTGTCCTGGGATCATCCAGGGCTAGCCTGCCCCAGCCTTTCACCTTCCCCTTTGCACATGGGAATGTGACTTGTAGCCTGGGGGATTATAAGATACAGCTGTCCTTTTTCTTCACTCTCTGAAACAGATTTGAGACCACAGACTTTCTTTGCCTGACTTAAGTCACTACAGGGGCAAGGATGCATAAGGTCATCCTCAGCAGAGTCTCAGTCACTCCACTCCAGAGCCCAAAACGTACTCCCCGGGACAAAGTGTCACTAGGCAGACCCATTTGTGTGTTACGCCCACCCATTCAGACCAACCAGTCCCGGAGCAGGCAGCCTGGGGAGCCCGCCAGGAGCTGGAGGCTGGGTCAGCAGTAAACCTTCCAACTGCCACTCTTTGCTATAGTGACAGAGCCCCAAAGGACCCTGATTCCATTTGGAATTTCTAAAAGCCAGGGCCTGGCCTTTGAAGACTCTTTCAGCCCTAGCACGTGCTGTGTTCTTCTCCCCTGATCCCAGGAATCTATGCGAAAGGTATTTCCCGTGAGCCTGGGTGGCAGCGACACCTGCTACTTCTGTAAGAAGCGTGTGTATGTGATGGAGCGGCTGAGCGCTGAGGGCTACTTCTTCCACCGCGAGTGTTTCCGCTGCAGCATCTGCACCACCACCTTGCGCCTGGCTGCCTACGCCTTCGACTGTGACGAAGGTAACCCCCAGGGGCTGGGACAGCATTGCTCTTGGCCTCAGATGCCCTGCCCTGGGCTCCCAGCCCCATGGAGGCTCTGAACACTCAACACTTCCCAGGAGGGGGTGTAATGTCATCAGGATAGATATGTAGGGAAACTGAGAGCTCCTGCTACAGGCAGAGGGAAGCCACGGGTGCCTGCGGCTTATCAGGCCCTTCCTCTACTGTGTGTGCAGAGGACCTGCATACACTTTCTCCTTAGCCTCACCACCTTCTGTGGTCCCTGTGTGGCCAAGAAAATCAAACCTGAAACCTGTGTAGCATGCTCAGCACCATACCTGGCATGTTATAAGGGGTTAATAAATGATGGATGGTATATTAATTTCTGTATAGTATGCATCATAAAAATAAGCATAATGGTAGACCTCTGATAAGTGGCCTACCAGATATCAGAAAAGGAAGTACACTCATTGGAACATGTGATTACCTTCTAATTTTCAACCCTTGAAATTGTTCCGTCATATATGACTCGAGGCAACATAGCACAGCACTTAGGATTACACAGCCTTAAACTAACCCACTGGCTTCAAGTCCAAAGTGTACTACCTAACCTTGGTAGTATATTAGCCTTCGTCGTGTTTAGTAACGGGACGTGGTCCCTCAGTTTCCTCCTCTGTCAAATGAGGATAATAATGGGGCCAGCATGGTGGTACATGCCTGTAATCCCAGCACTTAGTAGGCAAGGGTGGGAGGATTGCAAGTTCAAGGCCAGCCTGGGGCACATAGCAAGACTGTGTCTCAAAAAACCACAAAAGTAATTAGCTCCTAAGGTTGTGAGGATTGATGAATTGTTTATGTGCAGCGTTTAGAACGTGCCTGGTATACAGTAAGTCCTACGTCGGTTTTTCCTATTATCATCATCATTGTTCCTCTCATAGCAGTGGGCAGGAAAGCTTTTCTGGAAGAGGTCCAATGGTCTTAGGCAGTGGCCATTTTCCCAAAGTGTACCCTGCCTGTGTCTTTTTATTCTGGTCATTGCCACCATTTGATCTCAGCTGTCCCCACCCCAGGATCACAGATAGGAAAACTGGGGGTGCTGATACTCATAGCTACCCACTTTTCTCCCTGGCCACTGGTCTCATGAAGAAACTTGGCCTCAGAAGACTTGGTCACCAGACGATTTTAGCCCCAGCCCAGGAACTCCCCCATTGCTGGAACAACAGAATGTGGCTGCCTCATCTCAGGGTCACTTCTTTAGAGCAGGTGACAGAGCTATTTCTCATGATTGAGCTGTGTATTCTGACTGGAAAGTGACGGACACTTGTCTTACACCTCCTGTGACTCTGGTTTATAGAGGAAAACTTTGTGTCTTTCTACAGGCAAATTTTACTGCAAGCCTCACTTCATTCACTGTAAAACCAACGGCAAGCAGCGGAAGAGACGAGCAGAGTTGAAACAACAGAGAGAGGTATGTCTGTCTCAAAAGTGCGGGTCCAACAGGGAAGACCCCTTGAGAGAAGAGGGTCTTCAAGGGCTCCTCAACTTCAATGGACTTTTCTGACCCTGGAGGGTTGGAGACTGCTTCCGGATGAAGACAAGCCTCCCCTTCCTCCAGTTCGTGGTCCTTTTATCTCTCTACTCATTGGCCTCTGGGTTTGCCATATTCCAGAGGCCAGGTGAGTGACTGCTAGCTTCTCATGAAAAGCCAAGAAGGACTTGCCCACATACCAGGGATGGGACTTTTTGCTTAGCTATACAAAAGCCATGGGATTCCTCTCTGTTGGAACCCACCTGGCCACAGGATGCTGCTTACAAGAGGAATGGCAGTTAGGGACAGACCTTCTGTGGTTTCCAAGTCCTTTCCCAAGCTCTTGGAGCTGCCCACTGAATTTATAGATGGTCTGTGGTATCGCCCCCTCTGGCAGCTTGTAGCAAATGCCTTCTTGAGCTTTAAGAATCATCCACCACCAGCTAAGAACACCACAACTTAAAATTTCTAATGATACAAGTCAATGTGGAAAATGAGAAACTAAATAAAAGTACATGAAGAGTTAAGTCGCCTATAAATCACTCAATCTTGAGAAAACTCCAACAGATCTTTTGTAACATCCTTTCCAGACTTTCCCCTATATGAATATATTTTAACCTGGTTGGAATCCTAGCTCTACAATGTCATATCCTTCTTTTTCACTAATAGTATATCAAAGAACAATTTGCCATGGCATTAAATATTCTTTGGGACTATAATTTTAATGCTTATAAAACAGATTCTATTTTATACATGGTCATTAATCTATTTCACTTGTCCCATGTTTTAGACTCTTACATTGTTTGAATTTTTTATCTTGCAAATATTTTTACAGCATCTTCCTCTGCAAATCTTTATATTTCATATTATTTACTTAGACATATCATTGTAAGTAGGGTTGCATTTTGAGGGCTTGTGAACTGTATGGTCAGTTTGCCCCACCCTCCCCTCCAAAAAAAATTGCACCCACACTCAGCACTATGAATGGGGGGTTGGAATTATTTGGGAATTCAATTTTTCTTTGTTTTGCCTCTCTCAGTCTGCTTTGTTAGTAGAGTCCTCTGTGAGGCTCGTGAACTAAATGCCTTCACTGTGGTCTCTTTCTCAGGAGGAGGGGATGTGGCAAGAGCAGGAAGCCCCTCGGCGAGACACTCCCTCTGAAAGTTCTTGTGCAGTGGCCGCCATCAGCACACCAGAAGGCAGTCCCCCAGGTATCTCCACCTCCTTCTTTAGGAAGGCACTGAGCTGGCCTCTCAGGCTGCAGAGGGGCCTCCTCGACCTTCCCCGGGGCCTGCTTGCCGTTCCCCAGAACCTGCTTAACTGGATTCGGGGACTCCTGCGTGCTGTCGGGCTTCATATCAGGGACAATGCTTACAACTACTGCTACACATATGAGCTCCTGAGCCTGGGGCTGCCACTCCTCTGGGCTTTCTCTGAGGTCCTGACCACCATGTACAGGGAGTCCGAGGATTCCCTGGAGAGTATCCGCACCTGGGTGCTGGGATGCATTCCAGCCAAGCTCCAGTGAAGTGCCGAGCCACCCCAAAGTGCCTTAACATTTCCATAGTGTACACGGCCATAGTTTGTAGTTCACTGAGGCTCTGGCCAGGAAGTCTAGCATCTGTAACAATTAGCTCCAAGCCAAAGAGTTTCATATCAGGCACCTCCACCTGGCCTTGACAGGGTGAACATCTGTTCATGGTGCTAGGGCCAGAAACGACATGAAGGATGTTTTTTTTTTATAGCTTTATACTGTTTTTTTTTAAATATATATACACCAAAGCGAGCCATAATTTTGGGTTTACATTTCAATTTTTAACTTTCAATAAGCCAAGAGAAAGCATTTTTTTTTTATGAGCATCAATTTTTCTAAATGTTCGAAGTTTACCACCAGTTTTCCGGGCCCCTTTAACGTGGCAATGAGCTGTTAAAGTCACTTCCTACAAAGTGAATGACTTGAAGATTTACATACACAAACGTGAATGTGCCATCTCCTGACCGGTGTCTTTCAATTTATGCAACCAGATGGCACCTGGCAACAGTGGGATGCTTTTTTGCAATGTGAAATACATGATGATTTGAGAAGAAAATAGAATAAATAGAAGAAAATAGAACAGAGAGGCAGACTAGAATGAAACCCACAAAAGTATATAGCAGTGTGTTGCTGACCGTCCATCCTCCTAGAGGGAGAAGATTTGTTTTGTTCCCTTGTTTTGAAGCAAAATAGTAGTTTAAAGGACTTCCTCACACCAACTCATAGCCAAATGACACAGAACCACTTGGTTTCAACCAGACTGTTGCAAGCATACTTGTAACAATCTATTTTCCTTTCCACTACTGGGTACTACAGTGACAGCCCTTTGGCACTTGACCCTAGAAAGCTCCATCAGGCTGATGCAATGCTGAGGACAAACTATTTCAGCTGGTAGCATTTTAGCCCCATGGGGCTCCCTGTCAGGTCCCTACACCAGGCTGCAGGCTAAGCGAGCCAAGGCCACTCTGGCCATAATGGTCAGGCTGAATGGAGTGGAAGGCTCTGCCCCTCCCCTGGTATGGTTTGAACCTAAAGGTGGTTGCTAAGCTCCTGGGAAGTGTGGCCCACTCAGTGGGCCTTGTCTGCCATGTCCTGACTGCTTAGCCACATGGCTGCCATGCATATTTGGTCAAAAGTGTCAGAAACTATTCCTGCTGCCCTAGCAAAGGAGGAGTGTCTGACCTCCAGGCAGTTCTGCTGTGCCTTGACTGGAGTGGAAGCTGTTTATCGGCTGATTCAAGGAAATTGACTCTATCAGGGGCAAAAAAAATGAGCCTCGGACCCACAGGCATTCTTCTGATGTCTGGAAGAGCCCTCAGCTGTCCCCATCCCATTCTTCCTTGACATGCTCAGCTACAGGGTCTGGTTGAGGAACTGAGGAACTGATAAACTCCTTCTGTGCTGCTCAGTGTATCCAGAGTTGCCAGGCCCGAGAGCGATCTGTGCAGCCGCTATCTCTAGAGACTCCCGTAGACTAAGGAAGAGATGATGAGTTCTATAGGGTGGGAAGAAAGGGGAGTGCATTTCCATAAACACTTCCCTGCAGTCCTTGGAAGCACAGGCATGGTGGTGACCAAGTCTGCGGGAACCAGCACCTCTGTCCTTGTAGGAACTGTTCTCAGTCCCACAAGGGACTAGTGGATGACTTTGCACTGTATTTTCCTCTTTTTTTTTTTTTTTTTTGGCTGGGATTTTAATGTTCGTCATGATGGGAGGAGCCTGTGATTCCTTTTATGTTTGATTATATCAAGTGCATTCTGGAGGTCTTTGTGTGAACAGCCATGTTACTGTGATGACCACCAGCTCAGGGTGGGTGGAGATGCTTTGTGGAATGTCCTGTGAAGCCAGAGTGGGATCTCTGAGAATGTCACTATGGCCCTAAGCAGACTAGTCTGAATTTCCCTGGTAGACAGGGAACTTGTCTGTTACAAGTCTGAGATGTTTATATGTTCTGAGACCTTGAACCTTCCTGGTGGGCAGCACCAACACATGGGTAGGTCCTAAGGAGCAGATACCTCAGAGCCTCTATCACCTATTCAAGGATGAACATAAGACCCTAGAATAAAATGGGGAGAGAGAGAACATGGGTGGACAGAGTGTCCTGAGGCATCTGAGCATGGAATGTTGACCACATGCCCACCATGTGTCCACTCTTGTAAATAAGTAGCTAGTCACCACCAGAAAGGTTCGTCTCTACCAAGCAAGTGACTTATTGGAGGGAGTTTCCCTTTTTTAATGGTCGCCTTACTTTCAAGCCCAGTGCCACCTTTTTTCTTCTCACGCTAAGTTCTCTTTTCTGTCTTTTTCTCTCTTTCCAACCTCACACTGTGACCATCAGTTCATTTCAGCCTTCCAGTGCTACACCCACTTCTTGGCTGACTGACACACTTCTGCTCTGAGGTGACTGATTTTTCTGGGTAATTTTCAAACAGTGGTACTAACCCCTAACCTGCTTCTGCACCCACACCCCTAGCCCCGCTTCCACGCCAGTGGTTCTGATTGTGCTAACTGTGAATGTCTTTGCATCTAAGGGACTCATTCAGGGGCATGGATGTTAACAGCATGGGGTGGTGTTTAGTTGGAAAGCCATACTCTGATTCTACTTCCCTCTGAGCCGGTAGCCCCGTCTACCCCAAGTGCATGCCCCGCCTCCCCTCTGTCCCCTCGACTGGCCTGTGTGCATGCTTTTCCAGATGTGTTTGTGAAGCCACTTGCCTTTTTGGGAGGGTTCACCCTGATTATGAGATAGTCCCCTATAGGGAGAGCTCTGTCACCTTTGAAAACAACACCTTTGTCTAGCAACCTGTGAAAAGCATTCATGCCTAGCAGCATCTTCCTAAATTGGTTCTAATATAAAGATCACTAATGCCTTTGATCAAAACCATAGGTGATTCATTTTGGAGAGGTTTAAAAGATATTTACTTCCAGGCTTCATCACAAGCCAACCCACACTCTGTGTTGTGAACACTTACGATGATTCTAGAAAACCCTTCCTGTATCACAGCCAGCACTATTGATTCAGGCGGTTTGCTGTGCATAACCTGGGCTCCTAAAGCCCAGAATGGTCCAGGAACCTCATCTGGAGCAATCATGGTCCAGGAGGGGGACAGCCTTGTGAAATGACTCAGGTCAGCCCCAGACCTGACTCTGATTCTGCCTAAAGCACATATTCCTGCTGACTCATTTAACTGGAGCAGCAGGACAAGGAAAGCGCTCCCATGAGAAGCTGCACACCCAGGGCAGCAGAGCTAGCATAAGCCAGGCCTCACACTCTCAGACTGCAGTCCGTGTCTGTCCTGCATGTGGCCAGACCTCCCAGCCCTGCATGCTGCATCCCTGGCTGCATCAGTACAGAGCCTGGCCAGTACAAAGTCCTTGCTCTTATCTTCTCTTGCAGAGTCTCCCTCCCTTTCTAGAATGTCAACAAACAGAACCCTTCTCTCTCTCAGCCTCTCTATAGCTAGCCCCCCATCTCATCGCAAGGCATGTCTGTGACCCTTGGTAATCATTTACAGTGCCACATGGAACCCTGTATTTTGCACACAGCAATGTTTAGCTTTATTTATGGTATTTGATGCTGTAAATGGAAATAAATATGGTTCTTTATAAAGCTCATTGTTTCCTCTCTTCTTTGCCATGGAAGCTTCTTAAACCTCAAACACAGGGATCAGTTTAGGGGGTCCATCTTCCCTAAACTGCTGGCGGGACTTGCACTTGTGGTGACACAGGACTCTGGGGCTGCTCTGAGGCACTCTGAAATATTACCCAGGGGTAATATTTGGAAAATATCACCAACACGCTGGGGCCAGGCTGTGGGGTCTTTTCCTTGAACACCTGTGGTACTTTGCTGTCTCTAGAGTAAGTGAGAGTCAGTGTGACCTTAGGACTTAGGAACAGGCTATGTTGACAGTTGTCTGTACCCATGTCTCCCACACTTCCAAGCCACAGCCCTATAGGTGAGTTTTGCCATCAACCCTATGTGGTTTAGGTTTCTGTAGAACAAAGCAGGTCTTGAACAGTTCACACTGGTCCAGCTGATGGGCAAAAGGTAAGGAAGAAGGACTGGATGATGGTCTCAGTTTGCAGTGAACACAGTAGCTGTCCTCAGCAGATGGAGAGTCACTTTCCATCCTAAGTGACCTGCCTTGCCCCCAAAGGCTCAGGTTTCTCAGTGCCTCGTGCTATGAGGCTCCGCTCACAGGGCCACTGAGCACAGCACCCATGCCAGCCTCCGCTCAACTCCAGGGACTTGGAGTCTCACTCAGCTAGCCTGGGCATTGCCAAAGCTGGCTGCTGTTGCCACAGCTGGGTTTCTGACACCACCTGTGAACTGCAGCAGGACCCTGGTACCTCCAAAGGGGCATTCCTGGGGCCCTGGTCCTCCAGCTCAGCTGCTGGTGCCTGCATCTGCCTTCAGGGCCACCCCAGCTCATGACCAAGGGCCCCCGTACTCCCGTTCAGGAAAGATGTTAGGGACTGGAAGCCAGGTGGTGGGTTTGGCAAGTGACTCATTCCTTTATTTATCTATTCCACAATTATTTGTCCCAAACATTATTCTAGGTCCTAGGGATATAGCTGGGAACTACACAAAGTCCCTAAACCTCCCTGCACTGTAGGGAGTATTTGTCTCAGTATCACTGTGCCGGGTACGATTTCCCTTGTTTATCTGTGTACATG